CCTGCCCGGCCTGTCCTCCAAACCCGGCAGCAGCAGAAACAATCAGATTGAGGATATCTTACACAACGCGCCCTGATTTAACTTTCAAACAACCTGATGGGAGATACTCTGCAGAAAAACATCTGCATACAGACTTAGTCATCACAGTTATGAGGATGTTTGCTGTAGGGTTTGAAAAGCTCTCAGGTTTATCAAAAAGGATAAGGTGGCGGCAACATATCTGGACCTTCAGTGACACTCAGGAAAATGTGGCGTTCAAGAAGCAGCATGGTTTAGTCACTTAGGATAATGCAAAAAATCCTGAAAAAAGAAGAATTCAACAAAAAGCAGGACATCCTATAGAGGGGAGGCGCGAACATCTCCAGATTGCACCTTTGGCAGAGTTTCTAGAAGATCAATTAAAGGAAAATGGAAAATCTGTCTGTGTCCCTGGGGGAAAAAAACAAGAGCAGCTAAGGTTTTATTCTGTTATTTTACAATATTGGAGCAGTAAAAAATACATTTTGGATTTAGGGTGCAAGACTTCCAACAGAGCACCTTAGCTAGGACCAAATCAATGATCAGTGATGAAATGTACTGTATACAGAAAACTTCCTCACCTGCATCTTATCAAGTTGCCAAGATGCCAATGAAAAAATTAACACTGTTTGCTAGTCCATAGAGGGCTAAAACTTACAAAAAACAAGAATGTATAAGTAAATAGGTTTCTAGTTTAAACAGGATAAAATGTCTTTAAGATTTATAAATACGTCTACAAGGCACAATGAAACACAATAAAATAAAGCAAACTTTGAAACATTGGTACAGAGGAGGCATGACTTAAGGACAACAAAAGCCACAAAGGGAACATTAAACAATGGGACATTTCACAGCCCATCGTCCATCCTACTCTAAATTCCCGCAGTGTGACGACCCAGCAGGCCGGGGCACAAAAGACCAAGTGTCTCGCCGCAGCTCAAAGCGACATCTCAGCACTCTCGCCTCCAACGGGCCCAAATATGACAGCCTACGGATTCCAGCTGCCACCCGAGGGCCCGTTAAATCCGGCTCTGTCTCTGAAATTGGCCCCGTATCTGGCAGCACTTAGCCTCCCGCCTGTGGGCTGATGGTAGAAAAAAAAAGCTGCTGATGCCCACTTCAGAGGCGCTATTATGAAGCTCGCCTCGTTTCCCTCAGGTCTTAAGAGCAGAAGAACCAGTGGGCAAACTGGAAAGAGAGTCTGATTGCATAAGCAGGAGGGAGGTCTGACGGACCCGCCGTAGAAACGTCTATCTGCAATGATGTGAACTTACTGAAATAGCCCTGGACATAAAACCTAATGCTCATTTAGATGTTTCTGCAGAAGAGGTGATGCAATTTAACAACATCCTTCACCTCCACCCTCAGAATGTCTGACAGACACTTAGGAAGACCGCTGACAACTCTTTCTCCTCAAAGGCAGACCAGAGATGTTAGAAACATCTGGTTCTACCTTCCAAAACCTGCATGAGAACAAAAGCTCTTCATCCCCAAAACGCCGAGGTAGATAAAGACCCCCTCCCTTGGCAAAGGTAGGTGATTCTGAAGCTCCTCTGAGTGTGAAGGCACGTGTCCCAGAATGACTCTGGGAAATGTGAGATCTGTGCAGAGGCAGCACATCTCTCAGCCTCCCACCCTAACAAGCATCTGGGACCTAAACGCCACAGCAAAAATAAAAAAATCAGACTGCATCAGGTGAGGAGCCGGCTTCCACATGACTCACCAGATTCTGCTGGAGTGGTAAATAACCACTGCTATGTAAACAGATATCAGAGGAGGGTTAACTGTAAAGTGCCTTGAGATGACATGTGTTGTGAATTTGGCGCTATATAAATAAACTGAATTGAATTAGGACACACCGCTTGTTTGCGACACAAGGATCCGTTTAACTTCTCATTATTGCAGCAGAACGGTTTAGTTAGACTTTATAAAGTGCTGGTAAATTCCCCATGAAAGTCTTATCACTTTGGAAATATACACTGATATTGGCGAAGCTGCAGAAGACTGATCAAAAAGCACACTGAGCCATCATTTCCATGCCCTGGAGATATTTTTAACACGTTTTGTTCCATTAAAAGCTGTAATCATCCAAATGAAAGCTCCCTGATCCAAATTAATGTGACTTCACTAATGATAGAGAAACAATCATGCAAATCCTGTTCTGGTCACTGCAGCCGTGCTGCGCAAATGTTTTTTATCCCCTTGAACTTTTTTCATACTGTAATCTTCACACGTAACTGAAGCTCAGGTCATATTGTCCTTTTTTTTTATGCAACACATAAGGAAACACCTTACCAGATATTCTAACGATAAAAATAAACCCCTTTAAAACATTTTTGTACTATGAGAACACCCCTAACATAAACAGCCTTTGTGGTTAAAGTGACATCTGGAATCCAGTCGCATCATTTGTAGTGAAAGTGAAATCAAAGCTGTTCATGGAAAGGATTGTAGGAGAAATACTTTGACTTTCACAGATTCTGTCTAATTTGAATCAAGGACGTTGAGTTAAAGTCAAACAAGCAAAGATAAAGCTGCGGAAAAAAAAGGTTTCCTTTTTATACATAGAAGCAGGGAACTTATAAAAAAGATTTCAAAACTTTTTTAACATCAAAATGTGAGGCTATTAATAGATGATCCACCGAAAGTAACAGCCCAGGAAAAGTGAGCGTTGATCTAAAAAGCAGCCCAAGATGTCTTTGGAGGAGCTGCAGGGACCAACGGCCGCTCAGATCAGGGGAATCTGATTATTAGTCAAATGCACAAAGAGATGCAAGAAGCAAGTTATTGTTAGAACGAAAACCAGAACAAATCCATCAATGTCCGCTGCAAACCATACAAAGAAGACGACAAACGTAGAAAAACAGTCCTGGTCACATGACGCCAATTTTAAACTTTACATGCAAAACAATGTGTGTTTTGGAAACGACCACTGAACCTGAACAGAACAATGTCACAATGAAATACAGTATTGGAGGCATCATGCTGCGGGGGATGCTTTTTCTTCTGCAGGGATGGAGTTAAGATGGAGATAGATGGAGCTGAACACGGGGTGGAGAAAAATCAGGTAGATGTTTGCTTCCTAGATTGACCCTAGAACTAGAAGGTGACAATTAAAGCATATTGGAATGAGCCTATCAGAGTTCTGAGCATCAGTGGCAATCAGTCTCTGTTATTTTAGCTGCTTCATAAAGTAGAGTGAGGGTTCAGTCCCAGAATGAACAAGGCTGGGAGAGATCTAGATGAGCTGAAGCTGTAATTCTGAGTAATCACTCAGAGGGAGCTGAAAGCAAATATAGTATCTGCCAGATTTGAAAAAAATAGCAAACCTAAAAATGTTAATCATGCATTGAGGCTTGTGCATGGTTACAAAATAAAATAAAAAATTTAAAAGTATCCACCACCCTGGATATAACCAAACTCCCACTTCCTACGGATTTGCAGAAAACAGCCTTTCAATCAGTTTGTCTGACCTAGTGAAGCTTCCTCAAAGTATCAGACAGTCGTGGTGTCAATGGTTTAACGAGCTGAGGTTGTGCGCTCTGACACACAGCACTCAATAGAAGGCTGCAGCCTTAAAAAATAAACAACCTCTTAGCGTTTGTGTCTAACCAAACCACATGATGCACAAAATAAGAGTCTGAGCCAAACTAAGCCGCTGCGTGTTGCTGACAGGTCACTGAGGACCGAACGTGTCTCTTTAGTTACTGAGGCATTTTATCTACTCATCCACTCTGCTGAATAATATCACAGCCATGCTGTTCCTGGAAATGAATTAGTCTTATTGCAGCTAAAAGCCATGCCATGTAGTTTTCATTAAAGGCATTAAACTAATAGGAAAGAAGGGAGGCTAAGAAGAGAGAGACATCACTTAAAAAAATGTAAACACCCCAATTCCCACATTAATTAAAGCTTTTTTTTTCTTCCTGCAGTGGTTGACAGCTGCCAACCGAAGTCAGTCTGACCTCCTCTAATAAGGTTTTGCTTCAGATGTTAAGACTAAAGGAGTTTAATCATGTGAACAGCACTTCTGACTGAAAGGTTATTTAAAGCAATGTTAAGTTCTGGCATCAACGACAATTTAATGCAATAAACACATCGTTATACGAATTATTTATGTTCTTCTCAATATTCCTGGATAGTTCCAACAGTTTATAGTATTTTTCTCTGCAGGCGAATCATAAAAAAGATCAAACATAACAACAAGATTGTAATGTAATGTAATGTTGGTGATTAATCAAAAACTTTATGAGGAATACTTTAGAAAGAAATTAAAATGATCTTTTGCAAAGCTTCTTTTTTCCCCAATAAACGTCTTAAGAGAAAATTGATCTAAACAAAAACAATCACAATAAGCATGAGAATCATCTTTAGGACATGCGACCCATTCATGGATGACATGCAGATCTAAGCACCATCTTTCTCATTTCTCTTCAGGATTTGCTGTTATTTTGCTGATCAGATGTTTTGTGCCTTTTCTTGTTTAGTGGATAATTAGGTGTCAAAGGAAATCTTAAATAAATTATTGTTTCCAGACTTTCTACTCTAAATCTGAAAGAATCTGAGACACGCATTAAAACCGCAGCTTAAAATAATGCAGGTGAGAAGCAATTGTAAACAACTAGTGCATAACTTGACAATGAAAGGATTCAGAGGTATTGCTGCATGTTGATTTCTAATCATGTAAATGGATTAAAGTGTTTGATCCTTTAAAGGAAATAATTAAGCCCACCAAAAACAAAGAGAAAATCTCCCCACAGACACGGATTCTCCCACGGACTGAGTGGGTGATCACCTGCTACCCGCCCTCCTATAAACCTGCACAGATTCACGCCTTGTTCTAATGGATCCGCTGGTTGCTGCAGCGGCTGAGGGCCTGCCTGCATGGGCATCCAGCGGCAGGATGAGACAGCAGGACCGGCGCTCACTAGTGACAAACACCGGGGCTTTAAACTTTAAACGCCCAGCATGGAGCGCCTTACCTCGGGATGCAGTTCGGGGAGGATCCGTCTATCTCCCACGTTGCAAACAGGTTCATGGGCACCGGTCGGTTTAGAGCCCCGCTGCCGGGGAAACTCAGCCGCGCGCTCCGCTCCGCCATGGTGGGAGAGATGGGACCGTCCTGACAGCGAGCTGCTCGGTTAATGAGCGGCAGAGCGGCGCGGGTCCTCCGCGCGCGCGACACACAGGGAGGGGGGTGTTTGGCGCGTGTGTGTTTCCGCTAACAAACAGCCGTCAGGCTTCACGTCAGCAGCGTGTGGTCGTCCGACACTGAGATCATTCCTCCGTCCTCATGGAGCCAGGCGGCTCTGCTGCTCCTCTGCGGCCGAGGAGAGGCAGCGGCGGGACGGTGCGGACCCTCCGCTCAGCCTGCTGGGCTCCACCGTCCCGGTTAGGAAGGGAGAGAAAAGCTGCCGCGAACTTCACAATAAATGTCCTTTAAATAAATAGTTATCAGTGAGGGGAGTAATCAGTGGCAGTATGGCTCACTGCCCAGGGCGGCACAGTTCAGGGAGGGGCATCCAGTCAGGGGGGGGGGTTCTGTCAGACCAGCATAATCAATACCTGCTTATTCCTTTAGTTGTGTACAAAAAAATATTTATTTTAATTACTTAGTTTTTGGTGTTTTTTGAAGCGTATGTCGATCTGTTCTTAAATTGTTTGTACATGGATGAAGGGATACATCAAGGTAGTTTAGAGTCTATTTTTCATGCAAAACTGAAGGGATAAACTATGGGTTTGCTGGTCTGTTCCTGTTTGGCTGTGACTCCATCCTGGAGAGAAACATCAGCTGTGCTGCTGCCATCAACACCTTTGTTTCTAGATGTTGGAGCTTGGCCTGTTTTCCAGTGTAGTCCTGTTTCTCTGACTGTGACTAACTGGATGTGCTCTCTTCATCCTCTGACATGGGAGCTGGCTCGGAGCTCGTCTGCCTGGCTGTGTGTTCCCTGGACGGGGCCGCCTGTGGAGCTGGTTGACAGTTGCCTTTTGTATCTATGCTTCTTTTTCTATGTCTGCTTCTGTCTCCTTGAACCCCAGTGGGCCTCAGCAGATGGCCGCTCACACTGAGCCTGGTTCTGCTGGAGGTTTCTTCCTGTTCAAAGGGAGTTTTTCCTCTCCACTGTCGCTACAAGCATGCTTAGTGTGAGGGATTGCTGAAGAGTCAATGAGTCGATGCAATCAGCTGGTTTTCCTTAGATAGAAAACTTTGAATCAATCTGACTGGATGATCTGGTGAACTGGAAAGTACCTTGATATGACACGTGTTGTGAATTGGCGCTATAGAAATAAACTGAATAGAATTGGTCTGACAGACACAGGCCGACATGTTAGGGCAGGGGAACCAATTAAATATCAGTGGAGTCCGAATAAAGAAAATCAACACCAGTAAAGGTCCAGAGACATTTTTAATTATAATCTGTTACTTTAAACAGTATTTAACACTGAAATAAAATCATTTTTTTATGCATCCATGTTATACATTGACTTTTTAAATAAAAATAGATTTTTTTTCCCATTTGAAAATCTAACGTGTTTTTTTAAAGTAGAGAACAACAATCGTTCAGTTTGGTTTATAGACAATTTCCTGATTCCCATATTTCTCAAATTTTTTCTTGTTCTTTTCTTTCTTTTTTCTGTCTTAATGTTGGCAGTGGGCTTTAGGCTGCCCTGCGAGGCTTTAAACCTGGGTTTAACCGGAGACTAAGCCATTCTCAAGCACATATCAAGGAGCTCATTTTGAGCCTGGATCCAGATTTCTTGTTGATTCTGTTCATGGTGGAGAATCCTGCTTCACAGCAGCAGGTTGAGCCAAACATCCTCTAAATGTGCAGGGTCATCTTTGAGCACGCCATTTCACTTTTCTTTCACCAGTTCACTACAGTTCTTCCAGCAGTCCACACTTTCTCTGCTCTCTTTTTCTCATGGTCTTCTCCTTCTTTCCCATCGCCCGGCTTGCCACAGGTTTGCCTGCTGTGTCTAAAAGTAGCAGCAGCAGCAACCCAGACTGACAGCTCATTGGCTCATTTGGATCACGCGCAGCCTGGAGCCGGATTAACAGGAGAAGCGGTACAGGTGAAGTTAGACACTGTCGTCTGACAACATGCGGTCATTTATAAATGTCTTAAATGAGGTTGAGTCCGGTTTAGCCAGCAGGTGGATCCGGACCGCGGTCCACTAATCTGTGACCTCTGTGTTAGGGCACTGCTCTTTAAATCCAGAGGTTCTGAGCTCGAGCCCCGCTCCCACAGCCTGCCACTCTGAGTCCCTGAGCAAAGAACCTTAACCCCAGACTGCTCCCCAGGGGGCGCACAATGGCAGCCCACTGTATTCACTCATTGAATGCAGAGAGTTCATTTCGTCGCTCTATACTTGTGACGGTGTAATGACAATAAAAGCTGGAAGAAAAAAAAACAGAATCAAGTAGAAGTATTTTAACTCTGCGTGGTTCTCCCTAACCAACCGCTTGAAGAACTTAGCAGAGCATAATAGATGTAAATATGCAATGCTTGTCCAAACATTGGGCATGTTGGACAAGCAGAGATTGTGAGATATTGATAAATTAAAGTTTGATTGGATGAATCTTATCAGAGAAATATTGACTTTTCAGTATGACTGGATGAGTGGAGAAGAAATGATGAACATTCGAAAGCAGCACTTGGTCAAATTAGAAAATAAACAAAAATCGTTCTTCCTCAGATTTTTTCCCACTCAAATGTTTGGACGAACTTTAATCCTGGACAAGGATATGGTTATACAGGTTAAAAATATCAGTTTGAAAAAGAGACGAAACAGTTTCTCTGCTAGTGAAACGCCTCCTATGGTGGAAACTCACCTCAGAAAGCTCCAGCGGCCATCCACTATTAGAAATAATTCCCTGTGATTCCTTAAGTCTACTTGAAAAAATAGTAGTTTTAATATTATTCTCTGGTATCTTGCTTTGTTCACCCTTTTCTAATGAAAAATATTCATTTTGATGATTCAAATAGAAATTGGAGAGAAAAGAACATGTGAATTCGGTTGACACCAAAGGAGGCAGCATTGCCTCAGTTGGTCAGCAATAATTGCCTCACATGATTTCACCCAATCAGCGACTAAGCTGCCAATCATCATGATTATTTCCATTACGTCCAATTACAGCCACTTAAACAGAAAGTAAGGTCTGATCTAACTCAACAAAAATTAAGTTGCAAGGTTGAAAATGATGATGGCCATTGCAGCGTCTAGTAAATATGCAAAACATTATCAGCAATACAAGCTGATAACACTATTTGTCTGCACACAGTAAACAAAGAAGTGTTACTTTAACACCTATATAGTTGGTTTTGGTTCAATTCCAAATGAGTGTAAATTTGACTCTATAGCCAGAGTCAGATCTTCAGAGTTCCATCCATCCATTTTCTCCTGCTTTATCCTTGTCGGGGTCACGGGGGGGCTGGTGCCCAATCTCCAGCTGTCTACGGGCGAGAGGCGGGGTACAACCTGGACAGGTCACCACCCTGTCGCAGATTTTCAGAGTTAATTTTACTCATATTAGTGTTAAAATCAAGACCTCGCAGAGACTGGAAGGAAATCAAGCCCATATAGATTAAAAGTTACACTGCATGGATGACAAATTTTAAACTGATTATTTACTCCAACACTAATGCGGGTTTACGCTCAGAATAGTTGTAATTACTCAGTTGCATTTGTTAACGTTGAGTTTTTTTTTACTGTGCATTTCATGCATTTAGTAAATAACTTAATATGTTTATGGATATATGTTATTACTTTGCAGGAACTTTCATTATATTTTATGCCCGTTGCAGCCTTATTAGATCATGGATTGGTACTGCTGTGAAACCGTTTAGAATTTCAACATAGATAGTGAAGGTCAATGAGAGGCGTTTACTGAGTGGCACTGTTGATCCATCATATATTCACCTGTCATACATACAGTACATTCATTTTAACCTGCATATTGAATCATTGGCTCCAGATACTAACCTAATACAGAAGTAAATATCACAGATGATTTCCCTTTAGACTACTCCCTAAAAAATTGTTTGCTTTATCTATTTTTTATTTTTTGAGATTTGTGCTTCCATGTTGGAGCACTTTCCATTTTGAAAAACAGAAAATATTTACTGCCTAAACATTTTTTTATGGCATAAACAGAGAAACTCTTGGAAAACCATCCATGTTGCTCATCCAAGATACATTGAAGTGCTGCCACACTGTGGTGACCATGATCACTGCAGTAGATTTAGGATTTTTATATATATATATATATATATATATATATATATATATATATATATATATATATATATATATATATACCGTACATCTTTTAAACAAATATCTTATTTTAGGTGAGGTATATATTGAACTGTAACTGCCATTCAGAATCTTATGCATGGAAATAATCTCTTTAGGATTACTATGCCTGGTTGGATTAGCTGTTACTATATTAATCCTCAGCTTTGCTTTATCCAGTTCCATACTACGCAGCAGAACATGGTTCAGTGTTACAGTAAAGATAGTTTTAATCAAAATGTGGAACCTTTTTATATTATATGATCAGTCATAACAATGGACTTTGCAAATATAGAAAACTGTTTTAACTTTTTTTCTTAATAACTAATTTACTGATCATGTCATGATACCTGTCATTCCAGGTATTTTTTTTATTGAGGGTGAACTGAAAGCAGATCCGTCTCGCCTTAAATTTAAAGCAGCTTGTCAGATATTTAGAAAAAATCAAAAACATTAAATCATTTCCTGAAAGAAAACATTGTGATTTGCAATCTGTAATCAGTTTCTTTCCTAAAGCCATCTGAGCAGCGAAGCTGCCAGACTCAATAAAACACATCCAGCTCGGCAGAGGCTGGCCAAAGCTGAAGTAATGCTTTGCTATAAATATAAGGCGGTATGCGGCGGCAATAAAACATATTACAACACTAAATACCCCATAATGTTCCATAAAAATTATTTCAGCTGGGCATTGCAAGTGAACAAAATAAGCCATTTTAAACAATTTAAGATTTCACCCAATTTAGTCAAACAACTTTTAGTAATGCATTAATACCATCTTAACAGATCCAACAATGCACATTTGAATACAGATTAGATACAAGAGGCTTATTTAATCAAACTGCAATGTCTCAGTTATAGGAGTAACTGAACTTAATGTTTGAATTTAGTAAATGTGATTTATCAGGCTGAGGAAACCTCAGACCAAAAGGTTTAAAGGGATTTATGACCAAATCTAATTGCAATTATAATATAATATAAATTGATTGCATGCGAGACACAAAGGTCCTCACAATTGTTTAGCTTTTGTGTATTTATCCCATGCTGATGTGATAAAATTTCAAACATGTATTTTTATAGTGAAGTTTATTTATTTTTTTTATATATAAAGCAAAATGAACTCAGTTTACATTTGTACTGCACAGTAAGTGTAGGACAGAGGGATCGATAAACTTTACAAATAAAAGGAAAGATTTAAGTTTAAATGCAAACACAATTTGTGTGACTTTTTAAACACATTTAGTAAACAATAATTACAATATATAAATTTGCATCTACTTATGCAACATTTACAAGCAAACTTATATCAGATTTCCAAAGGAAAAAGTAAAGAAATCAGTCAAAACACTGACTAAAATAAGACGTTTGGAAAAACTAAATTCAAGCTTTTGATAAAGGTGTAAGGACAGATTTTCAGCTGAACTGCTCACATATTCCAAATACAAATGAGATTCAGGAGCGGACAGATGCCTCATCAGAATCAACATCGAAGAGCAAAGCTAAATTTAAACAAAATCAAATTACGCGGCTCATGTTGAACAGACATATTTTTCACTACCGATATGAAGGGGCCAGAGAAATCAAATATTTAAATTAGTAGACTTAAAACAACCACAAAAAATAAAGAAAAATGTATACATTTTTTTTTCTGCCTTCAGGAAAACCACATAAAGGGTATTTTCTCCTCTTTGTTAATAAACGCACATGCCACCGAGATGCTCATAAACTACTCTGGATCTTTCTTAGGACTTGCAGTTGCCTCCATCTTAATTTTTGCTGTCTGGCGAGGCTGAGCGGGAACGGGAACGTGAACGAGAGCGGGAACGGGATCTGGAGCCGGAGTTGCCGTTTTGAACAGGAGCGGGAGAGTGAGACCTGGAGCGGGATTTTGAGCGGGATTTGGATCTGGACGGGGATTTAGCTTCGGGTTTGCTCCCTCCTGATGTTTTCTTCTCTGGGGTACGGCTCTGAGATCTGGAGCGGCTCCTGGAGCGGCTGCGACTGCGGCTCCTGGAACGACTCCTGGAACGGCTCCCAGAGCGGCTCCTGGAGCGGGAGTAGCTGCGAGAGCGGCTTCTGTTGGTAGAACGGAGACAAAACAAGATTAAAGTAAAAACTACACAACGGCAATATTTACACTAAGACTGTATTTTTGGCTAACCTAAAACCTTCACCATGTTAGGTTAAATATTATGTTTATTACATTCGTTTCCCTCCATTTCCATCGACCTAAGTAGTAAAATGACTCACCTCCTACTGTCCTCAAACATCTTCAGTTTTCGCCCATTCAGCTCCGTTCCATCAAGTTTAGACATGGCATTCTTCATATCATATCGAGATGCAAACTCCACCACCCTGCATTTAAACACATCATGAGCATCCGGACTTTGGACAAAACGACACCAAGGATTTCATTTGGTCGAACATCTCACCCTTCGTTTTTAGTGGGTCGGTGTGCATCCACAAAGGTAACTTCACCTGCCTTTCTCATCAGGTCTTTTAGATCCTATGTCAAGAACATAAAAAACACTTAGTAGGAGAATTTAACACGAAGCGTCCCTTTAAGCTTTCTCTGACCTGGAATCAAAGGACTGGCATCAAAGAAAAAAACTAACATACATAAGTAACCCATCTCTAACCTCTTACCGTGTTTTTTTTATAAGATCCTATTTCAGTAGAGGGAATGTAAACAAGAGAGCCAAAATAATGACGAGAGCTTTTGCCCTCTAATGCTACAGTGTGTTAAATCTTTTTTTAGAAAGGTGCCAATACTTGCTTTTGTAAGCCCAATATGTGTACATGAGTTTATGGAATAAAGATCCCATTTACTGGGGTTCAGAAAACAAATTACCCAAAAAAAATAAATATATTTTTTTAAACATAATTTAGAAGGTGTCAATTATTATACCATTTAGAATCTAACTTTCAACCCTTCTACCACCCGACCCTGTTAAAAAAAAAAAACCCAATCACATGAGTTTTATGCTACTTACCGCTCCAAACCCAGGTAGATAATAGCATAGAGCCACTTGTCCAAATAGCAAATGGGAACCAATGCAGTGTAAAGCCCTTGAGAAACGCCCTCGAGAAATGCTCTCAGCCTTGCATCAGCATCCGACCTCCTCAAGTAAGGAACCACCAGAGAGAAAGTAGGGGGTGTGTTGTGTGCCCGCCTCAACACCCCCCCAGCTCCATCAGCCACAGAAATAGCCCCAAATGAGAGACTGTAGGAGACCGTGGATTTGAGGGGGAGAGGGGTTCCGGCAGCCGGGAATGCCAGCCCACAGAACCTCCAGACTGTGGCTACGGCCCTCCTAAGGCTACCGTATCCTGCGCTAGACCACTGTCACCTCTACGAGGACCAGCCAAGACTTTAGACCGGCAGCAACTGCGTGTAAGGAAAGGCACCAAATGGACACTATTCAGAAAAATGACCAGCAGAGGGTGCTAAATACTTCTGACACCCAAGTGGAGGGTGTTTATTTGCCTCTGATATAAAAAGGAAACCATACCAGAGGAGCTGTTTATAAAAAAAAAAAAAAAAAGCTTAAATTTTTTTTGGTAACATACTAACAGTAACATTCTTTTGGAAAAAAGTGATTCTAGTAAATTATACTCTTAAAAAAAGAATAAAAAATTGCCAATTAACAAAAATTTGTAATTTCTTTAACATGATCTTCATACAATCAACAGCCAAAAAAGAAACAATGACTTAACTATAAAAACAAGTGACAGGATGCCATATTAATCTCATACCTGCCAGCTGACCCGGGATGAGAGGTTCTCCACAATCAGCCTGTGATCCGTTCGCATGGGGGGGCCATACCTGTACAAAAATATATGAAAAAACATCATCTAAAACTTTACGATGTCTAAAATACATTTTAGGTCAAGTCCAAGTCATACCAATTCAATTACTTTCTTGCTCATTGTTTGGATTTCTGAAATCTAAGAGTCCCACTTATATAGTGTGTTAAAGACTATTTAGTCAGAAAACAACTTTTTTTATACTAAACAAAGAAGCATTCTTGGACTCCCTGAGATGCAACAAAGAAAAATTTAGTTTCACTTACCTAGCTCTGGTATTACGGGATTGGCGAAAGCCGCCGCCGGCGCCACCACCACCGCCGCCGCCACCAAAACGTCCCATTCCAGGAGGACCGCCTCCTCGTCCTCTCCTGGAGCGGGCGTGCTCAATGGTGACCCTAAGGAAGAACACGTAAAGCTCTAAAATAAACATATCAGTCTATAAAAACAAGACCAATAAAACTGCTGAGTCATGAGGGAGCAAACTGCTCTCTGGTTAGTCAGATGCCCCTGCCCTGGTAAACAATTCTGAAGGTCACTAAACAGTCAAGTCCTCGATTAAGAAAATATTTTTACCTTTCACTGCACAGTTCTTTCCCATTCAACTCATACACAGCATCGTCAGCATCTCTGTGGTCATCAAATTCCTAGCAAAGAAAAACTTTTTTTAGAGGGCGTAGAATGAAGAGGAATATAATAAAATTTCCCTAAAAAGTCTTATCACACTTACCACGAAACCAAATCCATTTTTCAAATTTATCTCTTTTATGTGTCCATATCCCTTGAAAAACTTCTCCACATCTCTCTCTCGAGCGTGTGTGCTCAGGTGGCCGATGAAGATCCGGCTGCTCATGTTGCTCCTTGCTGAAATTAGATCACATGCAAATTTGCAAACAATGGTGGTCAACGAGATAAAAGAATTACCGTGGGTGGTTCTGCAAGTTTGCAGGAAATAAAAGCTAACCTTTTCCCTTTTTACTCCTAACATACATTTCATTATAATTGCTAGTATCTTAATACCGACTGCAGTCACTCTTCACCCCATCTCCAGGAACTTTATTAATAATTAACTTACTGAAACGTCCTAAAGGTGAATAATTTACACCCTCCTTTCAGAATCATTTAAAAACACTAAACTTTATCATTGCAAAGTTTTACTTCAGAGCTCTTTAAATATGATAAAATGCCTTTGAGGACCAAAATTTCGACCTGCTTTTTTAGAGCTTAGAATAATGGAGGATTGCCCCTCCCCCTCCCTAAATGAAAGAAGACCAACAGGCGTTTTTTCTTTCGGCCTAAAAATATCCACACTTGAAAGACACTGAACGAGAAACTAAACTAGTTGCTTTAAAGCCGATTTGTTTAAGTAACAGCCAACTGGCAAGAATATTTAAATAATGTAATATCGTATATTTTCCCCCCATAGATTTATATCTGAGACATCAATTCTACATTAAAATTGAGGTATGCTTCATGTGATCGAGTTGATTTAAATTATTTTTCGTCATCTGAATTATAAATGGTACAGATAAACAAATGACTGACATACGCTACGACCTTTAATATATTTCTCTAAAGTACTCTGTCACTGATCAAACATAACAGGTTTATCTGGTTGGCAAACTCACAGCCAGGTTTTACATTTCACACAATTATTGCAATTGAAAAGCTATATAAAGCAGTTTACCAAAAATGTTACTTTCCGTATCTAATACAAAAATATTTAACAAAGAGTGGGGACGGGATTTGGCCTTTTATGGTAAAGGAAGTGGTAAAGGGATTCGGGCCTGCATGAGCCTTCGAGCCTCACTACAAGGAGACGCTGTGGAAAAACACCTTTGTTACTGCGCAATACGTTTATCTAATTATGATGGTTTACAAAGCAAAATACAAGACTTAAAACTAAATTTCATACAGGATGTAATGCATATATATTTCTTTAACACTAATTTAGATTCAGTTTTCTGACCGAAACCTAATTTTATGAGTTTCTTTTTTTGTCTCACCTCGAGGTCGCTTTCAGTTAGCCGAAGGCTAACATTAAAAACGAAAATATTCGACGTTAAAAGCCCAAAACACGGTCAACTGGTTTTAAGCACTTAAAAATATGTTGACTTTTCCTGTTGAAGTGTAAATTTTAGGTGTCCTTACCTATTTCTCCCTTTAAGGACGGTCGAAATGTTGTTTACGTTGCAGTATGTCGACTGAATGTAGGTCACCCAGAAAAAACTGGAACAAAATGGCGATCGAGTCCGCAGAGGAGGAAAAACTAACGCCTGCCTTCTGGTTGCCAGGTAGGTAGGAAATGCCCTTTCGAGACCGTCAAAAGCTGAATACTTTTTTCAGCGTAATTTACCACTATAACATCAAAGACTTTAGGATTTTAGTAGTAATAAAACTTATTTAAAAAAATAATGTTTTTTGTAAGGTAAAAACCAATGAAAACAAGAGTAAATTATTTTCGTTTTTAAAGAGGAATGTAGCAACTACTTGGCAACCCATCTGGGCGTATTCCATCAACATGATGCGTTACGTGAATTTATCCTAAATCTAGAACAATGGATAAATGTCTAAGCACAGCACGAGTACAAGTAATAGAATAAAGTCAAATAAAGGTTATAATTAAACCAGTATATAGCAATATTTGTTTTCTATGCGATATTATCTAGTATCACTGTTAGAGGCAATGCTCTAGTGACGAGAATTTATAGATAGACATGTGTGAGAGAGTATATATGTGCCAAGTTGTTAGTAACAGGGCCTAAAAGTGATTTGATTGATTTAAAATGAAAGTTTTTAAATATATGTCCATCAATATCAAATCAAAAATCTAATCAAATTTATTTGTATAGCCCTTTACAATAGCCAAATGGTACCCAAAGTGCTTTACAACAAAGCCATAAAACAATACATAACACATATAAAACATGCAGATACAATTAAAAGTGCTGTAGTCTAACTTTTAGTGTAGCAATAGCTTTTTTCAACAAAATAAAGACAAGATCCAGTTGCAGTCAATCCCTTTATTCTATTTTTATCATCATTCTTGGGATTTATGGGGTTGGGGAAAAGGAAATACAATTTTAAACAGACACAACTGAACAGAAGACCACCTCCTACATTTGTCTGGTCTGCTGTATGGAAAAAAAAATATCAGGATTTGATACCAATCACTATACAGCTGCACAAAGTTCAAAGAGAATTTTGAAGGTTAGAAAACAATAAAATTTGTGAAATATAAGACAAAAGCATATCAGTAAATAAGCGTATATCTGTTTCAACAACATAAAATAATCAGTCTCCTCTTTAATCCCTGTGGGGTTTAGCAGGAATGGCGGGCGGCCAGTTGTACTAGAATCCACGTGATTTCCTTCCTGAGAGGGTGGCTGTTCAGCAAATCAGCAGATCAGCTCATCAGCACAGCTGGGAAAAAAAAACATTTTTCAATCCTGATACCTTAGTCCAACTGGGACAGAACCAATCCAAGCCAGTTTCACATCTGAGCACCAGTCATTTATGTTTTTGTCTGTCATTGTGTCTTTAATCGCAGATAAAACTTGATTTATTGTCTTAATAGAAATCAGAAAAACAGAAGAACACATTCTGGCCGGGTAACAGAAAAGTGTCAGCTAAAGAGGATTAGGATCCTGGGGATGAGGAACTGATATATCTGTAGATAAAGAACTATCTGGGACTTCTGAGGAAAAAAATTATCAAGACCCGTCTAGTGATAAGAACGTTGCCTGGGTTAAAAAAATGGGCAGAAGTGAAACTGTTAAGAATCTGCAAACTGAATCACCTAAAACAGGCGAAGAAATGTTTCCAATACAAACCTGTCCACTAAGAAATGTTTCACGTTTAAATTTTACGCTTTCATAATTTGTTTTCATCAGAAGAACAAATGCATTTGAAAGTTTGAGATAAATATCAAAACACCAGAAGAAGAGCAGAAAAATCTCAAATAATTGCACCAAAGCAATTCTGAAAACAGTAAATGCTGCATCTTTCTTGCTAAAAAGAGGCAAATTTCATTGTAAAGTGTTCCTGGTCAGCTTTTTATTTTCTTTTTAAACCACAAAGGTCAAGGTTGTTGTTTTTTTTTACTGGAATCTAATCTGATAGACCAACACAAAGTGTAACATAATAATAAAAAACATGGGCTTTTCAAAGGGTTTTTATAAATAATGATCTGAAAATTTCATTCACATACAGGCTGCTTTATTAATTAGAGAAGATGCCAAGAGGCACATGGTTACTCTGGATGAGCTACAGCTCAGTTGGAATAATCTTAAACTGGATCGATAATGGTTCACTCAGAAAATCAGGTCCATATAGAAAAAAAAAAATCCAAAAAGAAACAGTTTATGTGAAGAAAGACATAAGAAAAAAAAAATTTTTCAAAGAAAAGCTGGTCCGAGTTGGTGAGAGTTGATGATTCAAGAACATCCTGGAAGAGAACCTGTTAGAGAATGGAAACAGTAGATGTAAGAAGGTTTCACCTCTACTGAAATAAGAGGAAGCCATCATGTGCATGACCTGCCGCCTTCACACGTAATCCTGAGTTATGGGCCGTTCAAGGCAAAGTGTGATACTCTGCAAAGTGACACTACTAATTTATAAGTAATCGCCTGATAACTTGTTAAACAACTCTTCCAAAACAATAGATTCCAATGACCCAAGGGAAGAGCGGGCGGTTGATTTGCATCTCACACCGAATGATCCTACAAGGATGCTTCTCCATGTGGTTTAAACAGGATCTCCTAAACTCCAGGTTACTGCAAGCAGTCAGAACCGACAACCAAGACAAACCAAATTCTTCTTGTTTTCAATATAAGCCTGTTGTTGTTGCCATGACCTGGATGGCTGAGAAAAATGACATTTCCAAATCTTTCACCTGTTGTTGAAGGTAAAACCTATGCCACAGTTTTAAAACCGATTTTATACAAAGCCCCCAAAAAAACTGTGTACTATATAACTGTGTTCTTACTGCACTGGAAAAGCAATCTAGAAATAAGAAAAAATTCTTAAATTAAGAATATTTACTCCTAATTCGAGTATGTAAATGAGGTAGTTTGCCAATGGAATTAGTATTTTACTCTTAAAATAAGATAATTTGATAATATGCACTTGAAGTAAGACGATGCAATTGTGTTTTCTTATTTTAAATCTAAATAGTCTTGTTCTTTTGGCAAAATTTCTCTTTTACCTCCTTAATCCAAGAACAAATGCACTTATTTTAAGAAAAAAAATGACTTATCTAGATTTCCATTTTTTCCATTGTGGCAACAATGTAATCCTTTATGTTGGTCAATCATATAAGAACCCAAGAAAATTGATTGAGGAATATGGCATGAAAAGTAGAAGTATGTATTAAAGAATATTAATAGTGCACAATTTACTCCTACTTCTCTGCTGGACTAATGAGAGAACATATTTTACAGAGATTTCTTTACGTTTCTTAGCCAAATAACACCAAACTAAATAAAAAAAACTTATTAAAGATACTCCAAATGACAGAATATTCTTCCAAGTTCAGAAGCTCTTTATGTTTGAAGAGTGTTTCTCAAGTCAGTTTGAATTCAGCATATTTTTTACTGCAAATATTTGGACTTGTTTGATCCTTTCTTGAATTTTTTAACTTTTGAGTAAAAGAGTTTAAGCAAGTTGTGGACAGATCTGCAATGTGTGGAAAGATGAGCCCATCCCTCTCCAAAGGTATCATCTTCTTTTCAGCATGTCTATGGCTTGCATAATCATCACAAAGAAAATAAATCAAAGGGAAAACCAATCCTTTTTTTATAGCTGATTATTTATCCTCTAAAATATGAGACTTCTCCCATAAGGAGCCTCTCTTCCTATGCAGCTGTTCCTAAGCTAAGCACAGTTCAGCACATAAACTCTAAAAAGAAATCCGTATTTTCATGATTTTCTGTATGAACAAGAAACGGTTTAAAAAGTAAATACAGTTGTTTGAACTGTGGCCAATCTTAATGCTATTCTGAAAATAACCACAGACTGGATATCAGGCTCTTGAAGTTTAGAATATAATAGATTTCCACCTCTTTTGTTTCTCAGCACCTCTATTTCTGCAGTTCAAATGGTGAAAACAGAGTTTATAAGAGGAGCCATTTCTGGCTGGAAACCAACATTTTCTATCCATCATCAGCAGCTTACAGTATAAAGATCACTGGAATAAAAAAAGAGTAGTCAGAAAATGTAGTTGGTAACTAAGAGCAACTATAGCGTTTTCTCTGAGACGGTCAGAGAAAACGACCGAGCTGCTTGAGGCTCGATGAACAGCAGCTGTTCTAAAAGCATTTACCTCTGATTGTTTGCAACCATTAGAAAACTGGTTACTCAGCTAATGGCTTAGTAACTCTGCAACTGTAGGGAGGATTAGATTAGATTATAACTTAGATTATAACTCACTGAAATGAGTTTGATCATTTAAATGTGATTACAAAAATCTTTAGGGGTCACATACTTTATTAAAGGTTACAGTTAAGTTGTCTTATTTCTGACATCCTACTAACATGCAACATTTTCCCTTCAATAAATAACAACTCCAACCCCCATGCCTGATTGACCTGTTCATTCTCTAAATTGGCCAAAGAATAGTTAAATGTTAGGAAACTGGACTCAGCAATGTCATCTGAAGGCCACATAGAGGTTATTTAACGAGGACTTGCAAAGATTAGCAGTTTCCTGGTAATTTTACTATCTAGAAATGTTTTTTTTTTCCTACAAAAGCAGCTTTGAAGGCAGGGCAGGGAACAAGGCTGACAAAGGTTTTGATGTTTTTTTGTAAAAGACTCAGAATGTTATACTACAAACTTCAGATCTATATTTACTGTTGAAGTCATCCTTCAAGTCTCAGAGTTTGTTGGGGAGTCTGTAGGTCTGAAGTGTCTGTCAGCAGTTCCTGCTCTAAAGAGAAGACTCGTTTCACTCCATCTCTTTTCATTCAGAGGCCAAACAGTATGAGGTCAGATGGTTGCTCAAGCCTACTGAGGTCACCAGTAGCAGTGACAGATGAGTCCACAGTTCAGAAGACGAGGGTTGAGTTCAGACCCGGGTGTGGCGACATTTGTGGGAGGAGCCAGAGCCAGCCGCCCCGGACGGCGACGAAGGGTCCTCGTCGCTCGACTCGTTCTGCTCCTCTTTGTGAAGGCCGAGGCTGATGTGGCTCTGCAGAGCGGCCGGGGTTAGCCACTCTTTGGGCAGGCAGCTCTGCAGAAAGGGGATGCAGGAGCTGAAATATGCCAGTCTGTTGACCCAGCGAGGGATTTCTCTTCCACAGAGCAACTGAAAAAGGGAACATAATAAGTTAAAGCGAATTTATATCCCAGTCCTTTTTCTAAAAGATTAGTTCTTTCTTTATTTTTTTTTTTGTCATACCTACATGTTAAAGAATATTCAACACATTTGAAATAAGAAAAAAACAGAAGAAAGCCTTAACGCATCTTCTTGTGTTATAGACAGACACAAAGTAGCACATCATTCTGTGGAAGGAGTTTAGTGATAAATAAATTTACTTTGCATAAAATATCACCATGTCAACTCTGACCAGTTTGGCTCTATTCCCTCAGAATGATGCATTACCACCATGTTTCATCAGTCGGATGGTTTTTTTAATGCTAACTACACTTATGTTCAACCCAGGGCTGCACTAAACAATTAGAGTATTGTGTTTCCATGGTGATAGGATGAGGCTCGATATAGCATGGACTCCACACAATCACAAAAAGAATTATGTGATTTTATTATATAAAAAATCCTAATTAACTTTTTAGATCATTTTAATTTAAAACCATTAAATAAACCTTGCATAATGTATACTGATTTGTAATTAATTGTATAATTAAGCATATTTAGTCAAAATACTTAATCGTCAGGTTCATGTTATTAATACAGAATACTTACTCAAAATAAATATTAATTACTGTATTTATTTCCAATAAATAACGTTTATTGTTTCAATTGCATGAAGATAATGCTTATAATTATGCAATTCAAACAATAAACTTTATGTATTAGAAATAAATACACTAATTAATATTGATTTTGAGTAAGTAGACTTTATTCATTCTAAATAAATAAACCTGACAATAACCTGTCTTTAGAAATATGCTATATTAAACTAATGAAAATGCATCATGTAAGGTTTATTTAAAAGTTTTGTGTTAAAATTGTCAAAAAAGAAAGTAAACATGAATTTGTTGTGAAATAAAAACACATAAATATTAAAATTTGGGTAAAATATTTTTGTAAATGCAGCTAACAGGTTTTGATGAGGCCGCCACACTAAAAAAATAAGACTGCTGAATTATATTGGTAAAATTAAACATGGGTTTCTCGCATCTAGATCATGTTTCGGTTTTAGAAAAGGGGTAAATTTCTCCAGTGTGAGATCAATAAAGTTAAATTATTATTAATGACAACATATTTACTAAAGGTGTATGATTGTTAATATTCCATATTAAAAAAATTGTGATAATTTCATGTTGAAATGAAATCAAATGTTTCTTTTATAAGATCAATCTGCCTCTGCCTGTCTGGGTCAATGGAAGCTGGTGCCTGTATCCAGTAGACTGTACCAGAAAGGCTGGACAGTCCATGGCAGGGTAACACAATAACACACAACCACACCTGAGGGCAATTTAGAGTCAATCATTAACCTAATAGTCATGCTTTAAAACTGTGGGATGAAGCCAGAGTTCTTGGAAAGAACATGAAAACCTCCATGCAGAAAGACCTTAGGCCAACGATCAAACCTGTGGCCGTGTTGCTAAAGGCTACAGTGCTACAAACTGCGCGCCTTACAGTACAGCCTTCTGTTTTACCTTAACGTAGTCTTGCTGTGAAGACAGGAGGAGAGAACATCCTTTTTAAAAAGTAGGTGCAGCTTTACCAAACAGTAGAACTATTTTATGTAGAATGCCCATTCCTGAAACGCGTCCTCTTTACAGCAATAGCATTTAAAATGTGTCATGATTTAATTGACAAAATTTGCAACCTGCACCCTTTTTTTCAGTGCAACGGTCACTGGATGCATAGGTTTGCAGCAGATTATTTTCTCGATGATTTTGGAGATAATATAGCCCCCTCACAGAGATTGGTTTGTTGTTTAATGTACTAAAAATGAGATAACCACACTGTAAGAAGTCAGCTGCTGCAATTTCAGTCACTGTAGACGGCAAGATATTAACAGAGTCCTTCTATTCCTGTCGACGAGCTGATATGAACTCTGTTCTGAGTTTTTCTAACACACTGAGTGACATTTGTCTCCATGTAGCGGTCCGTTAAATATTATTTCTAAATAGTTTGCTTTATTTAAGAATGTACTAAAAATCTAGAGACACTACGTAGTTCACACACTGGTTTCAGTAATATTTTGGAGAGAAAAAATAAAAAAATAAAGCAAAGCAGCCAACAGAAAAAACAACAACAAAAAAACATGTTGGTGCTGATGAGAGTTAAGTCAAAAGAAAAAAAAGGTGATAAAGGTATAACTGGACAATGAAGGATAAATGTAATCAAAGGCTGTTTCCAAACAAACAAAACAAATGGTGATGTCCTGTTGTGTGGGTTTGGAGTTTGACCAAAGCACCAACAGGAACGTGGGCAGGATGAAGATTTGAATAATAACTAAAAAGTTAAAGGAGTACCAGAAGAAAGAAGGGACATAAAGGATAGACAGAGAATAAAGGAGTGGAGGGAGCAATGGAGCAACAAGCAGGCTAACGGACACTAACTGGAGAATCCAGCAAAGAAAGTGTCGCTCATATAGAATGACTACTGAAGAAAGAGGGTTTGTTGACAGCGGAGAGGTGGAACACTTAGGGATGGAGGCTTCATTACATGAAAGGAGCGAAAAGGGAAAAAATACTTCTGAACAAAGAGGATAAACAGAATACACAGAGAACAGTATGCAGGAAATAAACTAAGCAACTAAATAGAAAGTATTTAACAAATATGGCAACACCTTGGAAGTAATAAGAAACTTAGAGAAAATAACAGACTAAAACAAGACTTAGATATTGTAATGGAAAGTTTTGTGTTTACACCTTGCAGCTTTCTCTCTCTGGTTCTTTTCCTGAAAAGAGATCACCTTGGACAAACTCCTTAAATAACACTTCTGTCAGGATCTTGGCACTGACGTCTGGTCTGATTACTCATTTCACACACTTGCTTAGCTCTGCTCAGTTCTCATTACCTGCTTAAATGATCCACCTCTATTTAACCAGGCTTCAGACCAGCCATCAGTGCCAGATAATTTTCGAGCCGTTAGTGAGAAGTACCCTAGCATTCCTGTATCCTGATTACATGATCCTGACCTGTTCTGGCTCTCGACCTCTGAGCCTGCCTGTCCCCGTCTGATCTGTTGGCCTGACCCGTCTTCTGACTCTGCCGGATCTCTGTCTGTCTGTGAATCGAACCTGGAACCGTTACCCGACTCCGTTCTGGATTATCCCTTGGCACCTCACTGGATCTCTGACCTCCTGGCTCTAACAACCGAACGTCACCAACATCGGCTTTGGCTTCATCCTCTGGGTTATCCTGCCTTCCTTCAGCTGCTCGGTTCTGATCTCCGACCTTTCCTCCGACCACCGATACATCAGGGCCTAGGACTCTCTGTGCGGCAACCGTTACGCCAGCAGACCAACTGGAATCAACCTCACCCTCGGGGCCCCGACTGAAGTATCAGACCAGGTTACTGCGTTCATCATCATCCACTTCCAGGAAGATGTGGTCACTAACCTGTTGTCTCCTCCTGCACAGGTTCCTGCCTTAGACACCGACGCTGCTCACTTCAGCTCAGTTTCCAATAAAGATTTAGAGAAATCTGTCTGCCTCGAATAATGGCTCCTACTGTTCTGAGACTTCCTAACGTGTATGTATTAAATAACCATGAGACATGATGACAGATTTTGACAAATTGTAATCTTACTCAGTCCAGAGAAGTTGCTTAGGGTTACAGAAGACAGAACTTACTAACCGGGTTCACATCTCCTGAAATGGCCCCGAATCACAGTTAAAGAAGCGTTTTATACAACTCAAGTCTGCCACATCATCACATCATTGCATAATACACGTTAGCAGAATATTACACTTTGATTAAGGACACATCTCTCATTCCATTAGCAATTCTTTGTCCGTACAGAGTGAAGATGTCTTTTTATTCTGACAGAGGAACCGTCCTAATTACATAAACTACTTGGGAAAACATTAGTTGTGAGATGCAACAGGCATTGTATTATTTGAGTTTAACAGAATAACATTAGTAAGAATAATCCTAACAATATATACATTTTATTTCTATTTTCAATCACTAAAAGATGATTGAGCAGTTTTACTGCTGAACGGTAAACTTGCAAATACTGCTTCCTTTGTTACATGCCCAAAAACAGTTTAATCGATCAACTCTTCTAACATTAAAATTGAGCATTTTTGTTCCTTTCTTTTTAGGCTGGGGTGGATTTAATGACTTTATCGTTGGACTTTAACTTACACAATATTTTGTGTTAATGAAAAATAGAGGAAGGAAGAAGGGATGGGAAGACTTGCATCAAAATATATAAAAACAAAGATTTAACATTTCAGGTATTTTTCCCATGTTTATAATTTTATCATGACATTTTTCCTTGACCTTATCTTAAAAAGGCATTTACCGAGGTTCCCTTATTGCAATTTGAAAATTTAAAGCAAGTGAAGTTTTTTCCATAACATTTGAACAAGAGGAGGATTTTGTGCAACTAAGATGAAGACAGGTTATTAATGTGTAACATGAAAACCCCGTTTTAATGTAGTTTTGATGTCTAATGTTTCCACAGTTTGCTGCACAGTGACGCAGTGGGTAGCACTGCTGCCTTGCAGCACGAAGGTTCCGGGTTCAATTCCGAGATCTTGCTGCATGAAGTTTGCATGTTCTCCCTCTGCATGACTGGGTTCTCTGCGGGTACTGTTGCTCCTCCCACAGTCCAAAAACATGACTGTTAGTTTAATTGGCCTCTCTAAATTCTCCTTAGGTGTGTGCATGAATGGTTGTTTGTCATGTTTGTCTCTGTGTTGTCCTGCGATGGACTGGCGACCTATACAGGAAGAACCCCGCCTCTCGTCCTTTGAAATTTGGAGGTAGGCACAAGCGAGCCAAGCTGGGATAAGAGCGACGGACGGATGGATGTTCATACAGCAGACGAGATTTGTCTGATTTATGCTCCTATGCTGCTTCTCACCACTTTAAGAGTATAAAACACTGACCTCAGACAGCGAGGAGGAGAAGTGGTTGCAGTTTTTGTGCATTAGATGGTAGGCGTTCCCTTTGAACTCTTTACCCAGCTCCTCCATGATTTTATCTATGTCCTCTTCTGTGAAGTCTGTGGTGCCCAAAACAATAGCCTCCCTGTTGGAAATAAAAATATCTCCCTCATGATCATGAGCAACATCTAAGAGCTTCGTGTGCTGAAATGATGCGCACTCACTTGAATTTGAAAGTCTCTCCCAGTTCGGCAGCGTTGCCAGGGTTGATTTCAAAGATGCCGCTAAAAGGGTAAGGATGGCCGCCGTATGCAAATTCTGCAAGGCAGAGAATAAGGAGACAAAACACAGGTTAGACATTCCAAAGAAAGGCCTCTACAGCTGTAATTACAGGGCAGAGAGCGATGATCATGGACACATATAGTAATTAAACCATTTGGACCAGCTTGAACACAGGGTTCTACCCCCTAGCATTACAGCATAGTAGAGAAAGCAACGACATAACAACAAAATATATTCCAGTTATTGGTATAAAAGAAAACAACAAATGAAGTCTGCATGTCACTGTCATGTTTAAAAATCTAGTTTTCATATAATGATTTTCTTTATTCGGGCATTAAGCGATCCAATCAGAATAGAAATACATCAATCGAGAATTAGCTCTTATTATCAAATAAGAAATCCTCTAAACTTCTCCAATCTGACAACATGAGGTGGAATAAAAGATCTCAAAAGGTAATACATCATGCCCCAATCTAAAAACGTAAAGAACATTTGAGAGACAAAGTACCTGAGATTCTTCAGCCCAGAAAAGCCAAGTATTTAGGGCTGTAGAGGACCATTTATTTTCCACAAACGAACGGATAAAACATGGAACAGGTTGCTCTGCTAAAGGTACTGACAACTCAGGGGACGAGTCCCAGAAGAGTCAGAATAGTATCTTTAGCACTCAACACCTCAGTTGGCATTGGTTAAAGTCAGTGTTCATGGTTCATTAATCGGAGAAGGGGCTGAGCGTGGCATCCATAGGAGAGTTAGTACTTGGTGCTATGCAGAGGTGGAAATAATGCAAAAGAAAAACAACAAAAACACTCAGATAAAAGCCCAGTAACTCATATAAACATTTTACTTAAATAAAAGTAAAAATACCAAAAGCACATTTGAACATAGGTAAAAGTTGGTGGTGCAGTGGGTAGCTCTGTTGCCTTGCAGCAAGTAGATTCTTGGTTCAATTCTCAGTCTTTCTGCATGGAGTTTGAATGTTCTCCCTGTGCATGCGTGGGTTCTCTCCGGGTACTCCACCTTCCTCCCACAATCCAAAAACATGACTGTTAGAACAATTGGCTTCTCTAAATTCTCCTTAGGTGTGAGTGTGTGTGTGGTTGTTTGTCTTTGTGTGTCTCTGTGCAACCTATTCTCATTATGAGTGCGTATGAAATCGTACGAAAAGTTATGCATCGTAATTTCGTACGTTTTGGACGTTTTTTTCGTCGTGTGCGCATCTGACGCATCATTCGCGAATATAGAATATAAATTACAATTAGCCCTAACCCTGACCCTAACCCTAAGATATAAAACAGCAAGCAACGTAGTTAGAGACATGAATAAGTGATGATTGCACTGTTTTTCCCAGTTTTACGTCCGTCCGTGGATCTGCTTTTTTTTTTCTGTCTGCCAGCGCATGCGCACGGATGTGGTTTTTTGAGGAAAAAACGTCCAAAACGTACGAAATAGTGTGCATAACTTTTCGTACGATTTCATACGCACTGATAATGAGAATATGTTGCTCTGTGTTGTGTCCAGGGTTCAACCACACCTCTCGCCCGTAGACTGCTGGAGATGGGCACTGGCCCCACTGTGACCCTGACATGGAGTAAGCAGGAGAAAATGGGAAAAAATGACCAATTTTGCACCACCAACGGTTTATATGGTAAAATCGCAAATGGCTGCTACTTGTACTTCATTTTGCTTCTAGTATGTTTTCAAGATAATCACCCATTCACAAATTTTTGCCAGACTATGTTTTCTATATTTTTATTTCTGTTCTCTACTCTCTTTTTTCTCTTTCTCTTTGAGCCTAACATAAATGAAGCCTTCATATCCTTCATAAATGAAGCCTCGGCAGAAGTTCAACTAAAGAAACTAAATGACTTGCCTCATCATCAGAGGCTCATCTGCCTCTGACACAAACCAATCAGCTCATCTTAAAATGTTTCCAAATACACAAGTCTGCCTGTTACCCAGTCAGTGCAAGCAGTGGTTGCGCTATGTCTGATTTTGACTCAGATGACCCCGATTCAACCCAGCTCCATCCCTCACTGTAGCTAAGCTCCATCTTCCATGGTGCTTCTTCAACCTCGTCCCTATCAGAGTGTCATTCCTACCGTACTCGTACTGCGTTCCCCGTCACGGACCGCCATGTGCAGCCTGGTTCTGCCAGAGGTTTCTTCCCAAAGGGGAGTTTTTTTCTCTCCACTTTCACTTCATGCTTGCTCATCATGGACAGCGTCGTGCAAACCTGTGTTTATCGAAGCTCGACATCGATCTTCTGGGTTCTGAGTGAAGCACTAGTATCAGCTCTCGCAGTCTATGGACTGAACCTACTTCATCTTTCTCCACTCTACCACCAGTTTCAGGCCTGGGGTGGGGGTGGGGTGGGCTGCTTATGCATATTAAAGTAAAATTCTGTGCTAATGTTTCCTGCCGTGGTCTGAGTGCCAAGGTCATAAAATAATTTTGTCCATAAAATTCTTCTAAATGTCTTTTTCTTTCCGTGTGAGTTTTTCACGTTGAAATAAATTTTGCACTGACAAACTCAGACTGCCCTCCTATGCTGTGGCCTCTCCAGGAAAAGGCCACCACTCTCCAAACAGGCTGTTCATTGATGAAAATTATTTCATATAGTTGCATTAAAACCATTATGCAAAGCACAGTTAGCTAAACTTACTCCACAGTAATAAAAAAACTAATTGAAAGTAACCTCAAATGCAAGGATGGCACACCAACTACTTTTTTTATATGTTTTTTTATATCAACTGAAATGATCTTTGTTTGCTATTAAAATGTTTTTAATGTTCTGGAACAGTTGGGGAACAAATATGCAAAACCAGAAGACAACTTTAAGGAGATAAATAGTTCTTCAAAGCACAATTTATCTTTTAGTAAGTATTAGATCTTCACTGTTACTATATTTCTATATGCAGAGAGCCAACATTTCCAGCTCCAAGGGCACATTGGATGTCTAGAGATCAGGTTTCAGCAGGGATTCTGCCCCTCTATTTTCAGTCCACGCACACATAAACACAGAGTGACTCATTGGTGACTCAACCAAGAGAAATGGGGTCATGCTATTAGGAGTATAATTCCATATTCCTTTTTTTATAACTTCATCTGCCTCGCTCAGATCTCACCGTCCTTTCATTGAAAGCAGCTCTGTGTTGCCCCAGAGCGCTCCTGCACCCAGAATGTGTAATGGGATTTTACAGATGTAAACACGGTCTGCGTCTTACCTCGGCCATAAATCTCGATCCCTGAATGGAAGACTCCAATGCCCAGATTGGAGGTGTATTCGTTTATCCAGTACTGCAGAGAAAACAGGGAGAGAAAGAATGAGTCAGGAAGCAGAACATGCAGAAAAGCAAAGGTTGATACCAGAAGCTAAATGAAAAACTAAATTATTTGAATTATTTTAGTCAAATGCGTAGATTAAGATTCAAGATCATATCATCTTTATACTGTAATAACAATTTAGGTGCCTGAAGAAAAAAAATGCTGATGAAAAAATATCATAGTATAGTATAGTAATGAATTACTTCTTGAGTAAAAAGTGGGAAATAATCTGGTTTTACTCTTTTAAAGATTGATAATTTTAATTATTCATCATATTTTTTTTACAATATTCTTAGTTTTTTTTATTTTAAATGAATAATACCCTTTTTATGGTTAGTTGAAACTAGCAGATCAGTCATTTGAGAGTGAGTTCAGTTTGGTTTCCTTTTTTGTTTGTTAGAATTCAGAGGAATAGTTTAGTTTTGGCTCTACATCCAACATCCTCATCATCAGATATACTTTGATTTATTCATTTTTATTAAAGTCAAAAGGACAGTTTGAAAAAAACATAAAAAAAACACAAAGCAAGCTGTTTATTTTCTGATTTCTGATGAAACTCTACTTGCTGATGATCCCTGTTGCTGCAACTAAAAGTTATCATTTCTTATTGCAGGATTAAAAAGCATTTGCTCCCTATAAACTTTATTATGGTTTTAAAATTAAAGATCATCAAAGAACTTTTTTAAATCTGACAAAGTTAGCCCAATAAGTAGCTTCTGAATAATAATTTCCACATAAAAATACTAATATCTAAATCAATTTGACTCTAAACGTAGGTGCAGGTTTTTAGGCCTTAAGAACCAATAACTACGTTATTAGAGGAATTTTGAAAGAGTGTTTTTGTGCAGAAAAGACAGATTTTATGAAATACTGGAACACCTCAGTTTGGTTCAAGGTTTTGACTGGGTCACTACAAAACCTTAAAAGATGGGCACTATTTTAGATTATTTTTAGGGTTCTGTTGTGCCCTTCTTGATGAACTGTTGATTTTTTTTGGAGCACATTTGGTCGGCCAACCGCTCCTCAGAAGATTCACCATGGTTCCAATTTTCTCCATGTTGTAATGTTAAACAGGGATGCTATTCATCAGCAGTAGTTAAACTGTCTAACTTTTACTGTGTTCATCGTGATTTATGTTGCATTATGTCAGCAGTTTTAGTATTTCCTTTTATGTCGTTTATATATGCAAAATACCGCCTTAAAACCTACTGTAACAGTTATGGCTGTAACAGCGACTGCAGTGGCCATATATGAACAACGGTGAATACAAGGGTCCACATGCAGGAAACTGGAAAGTTTCACATCATTTTCAAGTTCGGCAAATAATGAAATTAACAATCAGGTCTGAGTGTGGCTAGTAGATCTAAATGGAAACACATTTCATTCTTTATGTCGACTAAGTGAAGTTAGGGTGGACTGTTTTTCTTGATATATTTATTTATAAATTCAATTCAATTTCAATTCAGTTTATTTCTATAGCTCCAATTCACATCATGTCATCTCAGGTCACTTTTCAGTTCACCAGATCATCCAGTCAGATTGATTCAAAGTTTTCTATCTAAGGAAGACCAGCTGATTGCATCGACTCATTGACTCTTCAGCAATCCCTCACACTAAGCATGCTTGTAGCGACAGTGGAGAGGAAGAAACCTCCAGCAGATTAAATTAAAAATGTCTTATTTTATTTACTCGTGTTTATCTTTTTCTTTAAATGAAAAGCTTTCTGGTCAACTTAAATAGCAAAGGCGGGAATGAAAGCAAAACCAGAAGAAACCTGTGAGGTTTCATAGCATGGAGAGATAATGTTGGTGTTGACCTACATTTTGCACTTTGCTTATGTTCTCTTTAGACTTGTAGCAGAGCGGCATTCCTGAAATGCACTGAGCAGAGGAAGACGAATGCTTTCTGCTGATTTACAGTAAGCCACAAAAGAGGAAAATGGGCTGCCGTCAGTGTAAATCAACTTCCTGACCCTTCTCTACAGACAGCCTAGAGATAATTCATGGAAAGACTGCAGCTGCCCCACCCATCACCCACTGATACTTCCATGTCGTTGGGCACCATGAGAATAACATCCTAAGATCCTCTATGTTTCCTCAGTCGTCCCTTATTAATAATAAATCAAATTTTTCCGGACCCAGAGTCACATTATAAAAGTGTTTCCACCCAATTTATTTTTTGTTGAGTCCCATTAAGTGATGTGAACACCACTCCACCGGCTCTCATTATTTTTAAACCAAAAACCAACAGAAAACATTTAACTCTCCGCTTCCACAAAGGAAACAGGCTACAGAAAAATGCAAACACGATCAATCTGACACGCCTGACTCTCATAATGGAAGGCAAAGACAGTGAAGCCTTTTCACGCTTGTCACTCTCGTTGTTGCGTGCAATACTGGTCCCATTGTTGACAATCAGTTCATCGTCTTCCCTGCCGCTGTGACTCACTCTCTCTGTCATCTTTAATTCTTGTTTTTAATTTTCTTAAAGGATTTTGAGGCCGGATGTGACTGCTGAGCCTCACCCCCTGTGGTCACTTAATCCAGAGACAGAACATCAAGCTGTTACCTGCGAAGCTGGAAGTTCATGCAGACATTTAAGTCGTCACATCTGGTGACAATCTGAGATCTTTATTTGAGAATAGTTGTGGATTTCAAACTGGACCTGGATCTAAAATGTGGATCAAGAGTAGGAACATTTGTTGTACTCCTAGTAAAGACAAACATTTTTAATATCTAATTCAAACCTTTTTTTTCCATATTAAAAGATAAACCATTTTTAAACAAAATCCAAGATTGTTCAGTTATATTTTATTTCTGTCACTGCTTTGTACAGCTCCTGTTTTCCTGTAACATTCACTAATGCAGAGCTGTAAACAGAGAGGAATCTGGCTATTTATTTTTGCACAATCTCTTAAGCTCATCTAGAGTCCCGGCTCTTTTCTTTTCACCTCCACTCACAGGTTTTCTGTTGAACGCTGGCAGTGTTTGTTCTTGCATAAATGTTGTCCTTCCTTCTGCATGCCAAAACTAACCAAAATGCAAGAAACGATCCTACTTCTACATTTTAACTGAAGCTAAAAATGCAGTGGAGCCAAACTAAAATAGTCACTCAGTTCTCAGCAGCAAGCAGCGAACCTGAACTATTCATTCATATTGGCTGCATGCACTTAAAAGTTATATCTTTTACCTGTTTGGGGTAAAACAGGTTAAATATATTCCAAATCCTGGACTAAGATGAACTTGTTCAGCTGCAGGTCTCTGATATCTGATTGGGCAATTACAAAAATGGCAGCAGGCTTCGGTTTATCAGTAAATTGTAGTGCAGTGTTTTTCTACACGGTTGCAATGCAGCGTGTCTCTGAGAGGAAGCTGCTGGATCAGCTGATCAGGACGTCCAGCCCTGTGATTGGATTCCCTCTGGACTCAATGCAGGAAACAGACGGATCCTAACTAAATGAACATCTCTGTTGGATAATGCCCCCCCCCCCCATGCTGGTTCAGCTGGTGCTGAACTGGACAGCTCCTTCAGTGACAGACTGCTGCACCTTAAATGCACCAGGGAGCGTTATCACAGATCCTTCCTCCCAGCAGCTGGAAGACTCTAGAACCACCACTGTTCCCAACAACCTCAACCAGTTCTTCCATTCATGCTGATTCTGCTCAGTTTCTACCTTAGTCAGTTAAATAACCTGCTGCTGTCATTTTTACACATCTCTGGTATTTTTTGCTATTTTTCACATATCCATTACTGTCAAAATGTCCACCACTGTATTTTGATTATTTATTCTTTCCAGATGCACAGTATTCATATTGTAAATACACTGTACAGTTTATTTAGTTAATTCTGTCAAGTATTCTGTTATTTGTATACACTCTTTAAGGTCCACATTTATGTGAACACTTTTGCTATAATCTTTTGCTGCTGCAACACTATAATGTCCCCATTGTGGGACAATAAAGGGATTTTCTATTCTATTCTATTATACTATATTATATGTAAAGCCAAGTTATACCTATTTCCCTGTGCATGTGAATGATCATAAACAAATATATTTGTGCGTAAGTGTTTCCAAAAGATTAGGACATATTTTTAAATATCCACTTCATCAATCCTGATGATTTGCAGCCTATTTTACACCTGCTTCAATAACATGTGGTTATATGCACATAGTCCACTAAGCATTACAGAATATGTGAAGCAGGCGGCCTGATGAAGTCTGCAGGAGGATCCCTGTCTGTGTGTGGTGTCTGTGGGACTGAGGACGAAGTAACCGAGGTCAGAGAGGTGATAGAGAATTTAGTTTCACAGCTCAGAGTATAAATAGACACCTTTCCCTTTGCTAATTTCTCATGAATGAACCTTAAGTAAAAGTACATTCCCGGGTTAGGTAGGGGCTTTAAAGTTTTGCAAGTAGGTCATTTGTTTCCTAAAGTGGAATATTTTGTTATAAGAATGTGTGACAGTTTCAAAAATATCAAAATATCAGCATTAAAAATAATAAAAATAAGAAAGAATTTGTATTGTGTTTACAATCATATTTGAAAAAAAACTATTTCATATTTATTTTCTATGTCATCACTACACAGTTCAATTAATTTTATTGATCTTATCTGATAGTAAAAAACTAAATCAATAAGATGTGTGACATTCATTTGAATTCTGCTGCTTTTTTGCCAAATCTTTTTTTTTTTAATACTTCAAAGTCTGATTGGACAAATATCATCTAGAAAATGAATTAATTTAGCCAAAGTTTCATAATGAGCTTAAAGTCCAGACCACTAAAACAAAGGAAAATGCCTCAGGTGTGGACCTGGACGTTCAGTGTCCTACACCTTTTACACGTGTCACAGGTTTGACACACCAAGTTCAACAATCAGGTCATGCACTTATTGCACATTTAAAAAGCACCTTAAACAGTTTCTTAAGTTCCCAGTCATTCACTCACTATTTTTATTGTTGTAATGTCATTGTCTGAACGTGTGTCTATGTGTTTTGACTGATATTGTATTATGTGATCTTGTATTGTTTTGTCTTCCTGCCTCTGGACGACAGATGTAAATTAGCAACTATGCTATAATCTGGCTCATTTACAGTCTGTACAGAAGTATAAGATTGTTCATTAATGTGTTCTGTCCTGAATAAAGAAATAAATGAGCAGAAATCGACTACATACTGAGGAGGTAAATCAGCTGCTTGATTCAGGTGTGGAAACAGAAACATCTAAACATCTAAACTGTGCAGAACACCAGATCTCTGGAATAGAGTAGGAACCTTGATCCAAACAGTTCCTCTGTTGCTCTGTCTCTATGTTTAATGTAGTTGAACTCCTGAAATATGTTCCTGACTTTAACAGGTTTTCTTCCTGTGTTTTTCTGCTCCATCAATCCTCCAAAAACACCCCTAAAGCATGAAGTTCCACCAAATTAGGACAGCATGTTTAGGGTGATATGCAGTGCTAGGTTTTCTTCACACAGAGAGAGTTTTGCACCTAATAGCACCATCTAAATATTTTTTTTACGTTTGCTGTGTCTCCTAGGTGGATGGTGATACACTGCAAATTCTCAGCAACGGCTTCATCTTTATCGCTCTTCCTGAAAGGCCTGATTTATAACGAATCATGTTGATAGATTCTCCCACCTGAGCTGTGGATCATGGCAGCTCCTAAACAGTTTTAGGGTTTTAGGCTACCTTTGCCCTGACCCTCCCCTGACCAGTCAGTTTAAGGTTTCTGGTTTAGGTTTGTAGCTGCAAAGCTTTTTGAGATGTTTCAATGTTTTCCAACCAAATGCTTCTTCAAACTGACAACTTTACAGTTGCTGTTTGTTTGCTTTTGCTCAAGCCTGATTTAATGAGCTGAGATTTATTTATCAGTTTGGTGATTTATGAAGATTTTATTGACTCCTTTTAAAGTAAAAGTGATGGATGGAAATGCTTTTTATGCTATTCCCTGACATATTACTATGTGCATGATTATTCAGCTATTTATTTATATCTTCCCAGGTAAATCTTCTAGCTTTATTCATAGAATAATTAATTAGATTTATTAAAAAGTGTGTGTGAGTCATCGTAAAGTGACTGCTGTCCTTTCCATGTCATAAACATGGGACCCGGAGGTCCATTCAACACCTTAACCTAACCTACTTGTGCCAGTGATTTGGTGACTAAATATTTTATTCTTTTGTATCCCGTTGTATTGTCTTATTGTTGCCACATATGGCAAGGGAAACAGATGTATTCTTGATGACTGTATCAGTGATGTGTGCCTGTAAATACACTAATTATTCACTTTAAAATAATGCTTTAAAAAAAAGAAAAATATCTCTTGACAACAAAGTCCAACGGAAGGAAGGAAGGAAGGAAGGAAGGAAGGAAGGAAGGAAGGAAGGAAGGAAGGAAGGAAGGAAGGAAGGAAGGAAGGAAGGAAGGAAGGAAGGAAGGAAGGAAGGAAGGAAATAGAGGGGGTATTTAAAAAAATGTTTACAGTGCAACTGTAAAATGGTGCATTTAAATGTCACTAATTACACAAAGTGTAACTCCTGTCTCTATTATCAGGCTGCATCATCAGAGAAAATACAGAACTGGATGTCTAAAAATAACATTTATGGTTTAGGTTTGTAGCTGCAAAGCTTTTTGAGATGTTTCAATGTTTTCCAACCAAATGCTTCTTCAAACTGACAACTTTACAGTTGCTGTTTGTTTGCTTTTGCTCTCTGAAGCCTGAATTAATGAGCTGAGATTTATTTACCAGTTTGGTGATTTATCAAGATTTTATTTAATCCTTTTAAAGTAAAAGTGATGGATGGAAATGCTTTTTATGCTATTCCCTGACATTCTACTATGTGCATGTTTATTCAGCTATTTATTTATATCTTTCCAGGTAAATCTCCCAGATTTATTCATAGAATAATGAATTAGATTTATTAAAAAGTGTGTGTAAGTCATCGTAAAGTGAGTGCTGTCCTTACCATGTCATAAACATTCAGGATGACAGGTTCATTGGCCATGGTTCAACCCTGAGCTGGAAGGACCTGCAGTCCCCCTGTGAGACGGTCAGAAGCCCCCACGCTCCTGTGGAGTCACAGGGGCCCACAGTGGGCAGCTACTGCATGGACTCTGCAACCAAACCCACGGTCTGCATTAAAAATCACTCAGAAAGGGAAATGGATCCTGGCAGCAGATGTCTGTTTGCTACAGAAACTGATCCGTCTTAAAGCATCAGATCCGAGCTGCAGGAATGAAGGGCCTGAATGCGCTGAAAGCCGGAGCTCCTGTCATCATCCTGGGAGAAAAGGAGACAGTTAGAGCGGCCAGATGTGGAGCTGAGGACCCGCAGATATCCGCGTTTCCTCGGTTTGGTGAATCCTGGTCCAAAGAGGGTTAATTACATCTATGACAGATGGGGAATTTCACCAGCAGCATCCCGCATCCACTCGCCTCTTCCCCGGAGGAGGAGAAAGGATCCGATCAAACCCCCGCAGCATGACTCCTCCATCCTCCATCCTCCATCCTCCACCGACGCCGATCTGCTCCCTCAATCCGCTTCCTGAAGGCTTCGTTCCGGGTTTCCTCGCTGCAGAGAAGCGTCCGTGGCGAGCGGCTTGGATCCAGCTCTGACTCTGCCTCCCTGCCTGATTACATCATAGCTGCCTCTAAGCCATCCATCCTCCAACAGCTGATGGGAAGGAAGGAAGGAAGGAAGGAAGGAAGGAAGGAAGGAAGGAAGGAAGGAAAAGTAAAAGGAAGGAAGGAAGGAAGGAAGGAAGGAAGGAAGGAAGGAAGGAAAAGTAAAAGGAAGGAAGGAAGGAAGGAAGGAAGGAAGGAAGGAAGGAAGGAAGGAAGGAAGGAAGGAAGGAAGGAAGGAAGGAAGGAAGGAAGGAAAGAAAGAGAGTAGGGAAGGAAGGAAGGAAAGAAGGAAGGAAGGAAGGAAGGAAAAGTAAAAGGAAGGAAGGAAGGAAGGAAGGAAGGAAGGAAGGAAGGAAGGAAGGAAGGAAAGAAAGAGAGTAGGGAAGGAAGGAAGGAAAGAAGGAAGGAAGGAAAGCGAGAAGAGTAAGGAAGGAAGGAAAGAGAAGAAGGAAGGAAAAGTAAAAGAAATAGAGGAAGGAAGGAAGGAAGGAAAGAGAGTAGGGAAGGAAGGAAGGAAGGAAGGAAGGAAAAGTAAAAGAAAGAGAGGAAGGGAGGAAGGCGAAGAGAGTAGGGAAGGAAGGAAGGAAGGAAGGAAGGAAGGAGAGTAGGGAAGGAAGGGAGGAACGAAGGAAGGTAGGAAGGAAGGAAAGAGAGTAGGGAAGGAAGGGAGGAAGGAAGGAGAGTAGGTAAGGAAGGAAGGAAGGAAAAGTAAAAGAAAGGAAGGAAAGAAGGAAGGAAGGAAGGAAGGAAGGAAGGAAGGAAAGAAAGAGAGTAGGGAGGGAAGGAAGGAAGGAAGGAAGGAAGGAAATAGATGGGTGTATTTTTAAAAAAGTTAAAAATTGTGCATTTACTTGTCCGTAAAATTGTGCATATAAATTTCACACTAATAAAGTAACTCCTGTCTCTATTATGAAGCTGCATCATTAGAGAAAATACAGAAAATACTGGAAACCACTAATTCTTCTCTCACTTCTTGAAATGAATCCATGTTTTCTACACAAAGTTAGGTTACATTAAGTTGACCTAAAAATGATGGATGAGCAAAACTAAAGCAAATTAAGCTTTACTTAATAGCTTAAAAGTTTGGATGGCAAAACTCATAATAACTAATCTAATGAATCCAAGTTAATATAAGTACTCATACTCGAATAAACAAGTTACTGTAATCAAATTATCTAAATTACTTTGAATACTGCAAACTCAAGATAATCAATTTACTATAATCTAATCAATTTAAATACTGCAAACAGATAAAAAAAAATGAACACGATCTAATTATTTAGGTCAATTTAAGTTCTGCACAGTTAGTTATTAAGTAAATCTAATGTAATTAATCTCACTTAAAATAGATTACATTTTGTGAAGAAGCAAGTTTGTATATTTTTTTTATATGTAAAGTCTATTCTCTATATTTCAGTGTAATTAAATTATGTCCATAGAGACCAAGGCTGGCCATGCAGCCCTCACTGATTACTAATCTGATCAAATTAGATTGATTCTTTTACTTCTTTATCTTGGCATCCTGTAAGATGAGTAGAAATTGACAGTTTTTTTATTTTTATTTTAGTGATAAAAAAAAATGTTTTTTTGTTGTTGTTTTTTTTACTGTTATAACATGCTAACCAAAGCATAAAATTGTGTTTTAGCACCTTTTTTCTCAACTACTTACTACTGAACAGGCAGCACCAAACACCCGGACCGCCTGTACAGGCAGGCAGGTATAGATCTAATTTAATCTAATCTCTAATCTAACTCGATTAAAAGCTTCTGATGAAGTGTTTGAAAAGAAATATGTTTTTAAAAGACAATGGATCAAAAACACTCACCTTTTACATCCTGGTTGGATCAAACTATCAAAAATACAATGAAGATTCACCTTCTTAGAAATTGGACACAATCTTATATCTAATTATAAGCACTGAAGCCTAAAAATACTCAGTAAAAGAAAAACAAAAACAAAACAAGACTTAAGTGAAATAAACTATTTTATTACATGTCTGGATGTCAAACAGAGAATATTTGCATAATTTCTAGTGCTTCTTATTTTCTTCCCTGGCACATATTCACAATCTCACTTAGCAGAAATCCATCGATTTACAACATAAACTGCACACAGAGACTGATGTGATCCAACCAAAAAAAAAATAAAAACTACAACATATTTCTATAAATTCCTGTCTAGACCCGTCCCATGGCTGCGACTGGAAAAGCTCCATGGCTGCTACTTTAGTGCAAAACTAAAAGATCGTGACAGAAGCTCATTTCAACACTGCTGCTGGTCTGATACAATAAATTAAATGTTTTGTTATATTAAACAAAAAACAAAACAGAGCCCTTTCTCGTATTATCGTATCTCTGCAAGACCTTGATTAAAAAAAAGAACCTCTTCTGATGATTTGTGTCGCAAACGCATCTCGGGAAATCAGACGAATGAAAACCTACTTTCATTAAAAAAAGTGATTCACGTCAAAAGTGTAATTCAGCTAATTTAGATTTTTTACAGCTAATAAAAAACCTAAAATAACAGAGTTATGCATATAGAAAAAATACCGATTTAAAAGCTCAGATAAACTGAGCTAAACCAACAATGCACCGACTTATAAAGACCTACTGATCATCTTTAGTGTACTGGTCTGTATCAATCAGTCCCGTTATTGAAAACTATTGAAGCATTTATTGGGTTAAGCTGCTGCTTTGTGTAATTAATCACAAATCAGCAGTGAACACAAACCAAGTAGTGTCTTCATCCGCAGCTAAAAATAGGCCCATCCAGCAGATGCTTTGAGATCTTTAAAGAATAATCAGATGTTTTACTAAATATACCAACTTTAAATGGAGCAAATTGTTTGTATTAACCCTTAATAAATAAGCTGGATATTATAATGTAGTTATTATATTGATGATGTCACAGAGCATTTGGTTGATATTTGCTCTAGAGAGAAAAGGCACTATAAAAAAAAAAAGCCTTAGTGCTCTCACGCTCACTGACCTGAAGGTCAGGCGCGGCGTTCAGTCAGGGACCTGCATGACTAAACAGAAACAGGGTTTTCATTTCATGAATGACTGGAGCTTCTGTCAATCGTTTACTTCAGGCGCTGTTGTTCATTTGCTCTGGGCTGCTTATAGCGGGGCGCAGCCACACAGCAGGAATGTCGTGACCCTTCATCTCCACACGGTAAATCATTTTCTGTAGAAAACAACCCTGATGGTAAAGTAGCATCTTCCTGCGCAGGAAAAAAAACACAAGAAGCTACCATTCATCACAGAATATGCAAAAGAATAAATCGCTACACCATTAGCTGCTAATCAAAGAAAGGTCACACTCTTCCTTTCTTTTGCTCTTCTTTTGGCATTTTTTTGGCATTTAACAAAGTTTTTGGTGCTAAAATTAACATACAGACATTGTCAAATTTGATAAAAAAAAAAAAAAAAAAAAAGGTTCCTCCTATCTACGCCGTTTATAAAGGGCGGCTATTATGAAGACTGATACAGCTCCAGCAAATAACACCAACATTCCCAGAGAGGACATGGAGGACTGGCGTTCAGGAGGGGAGTCCGCTGGTCCGTTTGTTAGACAAGGCGACTGTGGGAAAGAAAACAGGGAAAATGTGAGAGCTGCACAAGAAGCAATATTCACAAAGAAATGTTTTTAAAAAAGCACCCAGAGGGCGCAGTAATATTTAACCCAAATGGTGACTCCACCTATAGCTAAAACTGACACATCATCTGGATCATTACTAAATGAATTGTTCCTTTATATGAAGGACACATCTGGTAAAAAATCCCCATAAAAAGTTTTTAATTGATCCTCGGTTCCCATTTCCTGTGTTTTTGTCTTCAGTAACATAGTCTGATGCTGAGGCTGTCGATACTCACTGCTGCCACCCTCTGGCTTACAGGGGAACTGCTTGTTAATCCTTATCTCACAATGTTAGAGAATCTATTTAAAAATCCTGTATCCAGATTAGGACTGAAACAATTCATTGGATTAATTGTGATTAATCGATTATTGAAATAATTGTCTACTAATTTAGTAATCAATTAATTATTAACTGGAGTTTAGTCTCTAAAACAGACTTTATATGACAGAACAACCCACCTTGAAAAGCAATTATACCAAAATTGTAAAACAAAAGTAAAAGTTTTGCATTTAAGATTAAACAAAAAAAAAGGTCCAGAACTCCTCAAGTGGAAAGGTTTTACTTTCTCCTGGTTTAAATAAAGAAAAAAAAAAGTCTTTAAGGAACCTTTTCCTATCAGAATATTAATCGATTAATGAAAAAAATTATCCAAAGATTAATCAATTTGCAAAAGAATGGCTAATTGGAGCCCTAATCAGGATTATGAAACGGGTCATCGCCAAAATTTAATGGATTGCTGGTAAAGTTTCATCAAATTCTGTCTTACAATTATGTTTTATGTGTACAAAATATAAAAAGTTACATAAATTACATCTAACAACTTTGAACAACCAGGGAAAGATAAATCTACCTGAAAAAATTAGGAATAAATTAGATACCAGGCAGTTTTTGAAATAAAGTATGAGAGATACATTAATATATTAATCCTTAGATGCTACAGAACACAAATTAAAAAACAGGCGTTGCCTGGTCATCCATTCCATACTTCTGTTTGTTCAAGACCAGCGTGTTTAACCCGCTTGTTCCACCTATTAGTGAATATATTTTTTTAAGGCGGAGGGAGAAGGTGATCCTCTCCATCAGGTAAATGTAATTTACGATGCTTGTCCACTCTTTTATTGTGGGCGGGTCGGGAACCAACCAACATCTTGCGAGTGCTTTTTTACCAGCAGTTATCAGAATATCAAATAAATATTCATCAGTTTTCCTGAACTGTAAATCAGAACTTCCTAAAAATAATGTTAAAAACTGCAGAAGATTAGTTTTAAACAGACCATTTAGTACCTTATGAAGCTCTGCCGTAAAGGGTCTAACCACTGAGCATTCCCAAAAGATATGCCAATGATCGGCTTCCTGGTGTCCACACTGCCTCCAACACACAGCTTCAACTCCAG